CAGCTATATTAGCATCAGCAAACAAGTCATCTGAAAGCCCCAACACAAACTGCCAACTCTAGCCCTCATATCACGTAACATTTCCGGAGCATACTTGGACAGAACGATGAACTTGAGGTAATACTCGTTCACACTCAATCTCATTTTGTTTGAGTCTCTAAAACTCTAAAGCCTTAGCTTCCAAGACCTCAATGGGTAGAAAATACTCAAGAAATGCATCTGTAAACTCCTTCCAAGTTGCAGAAGTTGCATCCTCCCCTCGTGACTCTTCCCATGTTTCCTAGCAAGTGTTAGCAACATCCTTCAGTTGGTACACAACAAGCTCTGCTACCTTAGTGTCTGCAGCATGCATCACTCGAAATATCTTCGAAACATCATCAATGAATTCTTATGGATCCTCATCCTTTTGGACCTTGTGAAAACTATAGGTTTCATGTTAAGGAATTCCCTGGACCTAGAACTATTCATCTCATGAACCGCACTCGTTCCCTGCCTCTGAGCCTGAGTAGCAACAATCTGGGATAGCAACTGGATAGCTCCCCTGACATCCATGTCTGAAGCACTAGGCACCGATCCCAATGAAACTCCTTGTGCTGGAGTGTCCTCCTCGTGAGCAGCATTAGCCATAGCCCTCTAGCGAGTAGCCGAGGTCCTCTTGGTGTACTTTTTTGTAGGCATTTTTCGAAATATGTAATTCGCATGAGTTAGAAGGATTCTTGAAAGCGTAGATCTAACTGCACAATCTAGAGTATGAAAGAAATTGAACTATCCTAAATGTCTTGGTGGTCAACTGTATACACGTGTGGCACGCACACATACATAAAGGTGACCCTACTGGACACGCCTTCCTAGACTCCCTAGGACTCTTAAACCTAGGCTCTGATACCAAGCTTTGTCACGTCCTGAACCATGGCTTGGGCGTAACATGACACTTAGTGCCTGACTACATGTGACCGAGCAAACCAGCTGGAGAGCTGGATCAATATATGGTATAATTGTAAGTTGAATATAAACATGCAACAAGATGATCTACTAAAGAGTCTGACTGAAATGTCATAAATGTAGAAAGTGCTGAAAAGTCTGCAAGTATAAACAAGTAGCCAACCAATCTAACACATAAAAGCCTGCTAAAATTTGACTAACTGGATTATAGTCGATGAGGCCTCTAAAGAATACTAAAATACTAATTATTTATCGAGATAAGGTCCCCCGCATACCTTACTAACTGAAATACTATAAAGACTAAAAAAGAGGGACAATGCCCTAAAAGACTAGGGCTCACCAATAGCTGATACGAGATGTCCTAGCAAGAAGAATGGTCAACTTGTAAATCATTACCTGCATCATAAGATGCAGGCCTCCGGAAAAAGGGGACGTCAATACATTTGAATTGCACTAATATATAAAACAACTAAAAGAAAGAACTGTAAATACTTAAACTGAACTGATAATTGATAACTGAACTGAGCAAGACAGTGAAGATATGAATACTCCCTGTTCTGAATGAGAAACCACTTGTTTATCTGATTAAATAATCTTCGGCCTTAGTATATGTGTGTGTGTGTGTGTGTATGTGTGTGTGTATGTATTGTGGCCTCAGGACCTAAGATGCATAAAGCATACATTACGGCCTCAGGCCTAAATACATGTGTTCAACGTTCAAGGATTTAAAATCAGGGTCTGAGGATCATACTGCAATACAAGATACTGAAATACTGAATCATATTGAGTTACATGATACTGAAATGCTGAATAGAACTATACTGGGACATGTATTCATAATAAAATAATTTGTCATAACTGAGACTCATGGAATATTGAACGAATTATGAAACCATGTCATCTATAGAATAGAAATTCTATAACTATTCATGGAACTGAGGCATATTTACTTTCTGAGGCAATTCGTAATAGTCATAAGAATGAGATGTAAGTAGAATCCCAAACATTCTGAAACATAGAGAGTTATCCTCACATACCTTGATGTTAGCCTTTTTAAGCGCATCATAATTTTCATCGCCTCTTTCAACGATAATCTATGGAAATATCTATCAAGTGGAACCAATATTAGCAGTAATGCTCATGTTTTAGTCACTTAGGTATTTTATCAAAAACCTTATTGGTGTAAAACCTCATAGCCCTTATTAGTGATGTTTCTACACCCAACAACCCATCCTCTTACTCCTAGATAAATTCTAAAAATCTCAATTAGAACTTAGAGTCTCAATTATTACCCATGTTAATAAGGTGTTGAGGAATTAAAATTAACTTAGAGTCATAATTAGAACTTACCTTGGATGATGAAGGGACCTTGGAGGAAGTTAGGTTCTTGAGAGCTTCCCTTCCTAGAGCATGTTTTCGTATTTTGGGGTGTGGGGAACGAGGTAGGGCTTTTAAAATGGCCCTTTAGGTGCGTGTCCATGCAGCTGAAGGCTCAACCACACACTTAAATCTGCAGCAAGGGCAATAGCACTGCCACAAGTGTGTTGTCATGCACGGGAGAGTTGGGCATGCATCTGAGCGCACAGGTTGTGCATTGTCCAGTAAAATATGCATAACATTTTGCACAGAGATCCGTTCAAGCTTCAAAATATATAATTGAAAAGGTATTTCAATTGGCTATAACTTTCATATTTTTTGTTTTCTCAAATTCTGAAAAGAGTTTCACTTGAAATCAGGCTGGAAGACATACCTTCCATAAACTTAGTCGATTTTATCAAATCTTATGCACCTGACTCTCTGTCTTGATTCCGAAATAACTATTTTTACCATACTCATCCCAATAGGACTTCACATGCCTAAAATTTTACATTAATACTCCTTTAATAAATTTACACCTAATCCGAATTTACATAGTGTTACTATACTTACTAGGTATGTGTTGATTTACATGTTGATGCTACACTTTTGCACTAATAGTGCAGGTAGTAAGATAGGTTCATTTGGCGGTCATCTTGGTGCATAGGAACGGCTACTGAGGGGACTTTATAGTGAGCTGCAGGACACGGAGTCTTGTTACGATCCGCAGGACACGGAGTCTCCATCTTATTCATTTATTTTATCATGTCTATGTTATATTTTAGACATGTTGTATTAGTATTGTACTCCCTAGAAGATGCTCATGCACTTGTAACCCCAAATTTTTTAGATTTAGATTTTGCTCTTGATTGTATTCGGCTATGATTTTTTGATTTATATTTTGGCCCTATTCGAACATTTAAAATAATAATAATAATAATAATAATAATATCTATATTTTCTATAAAAACGAATAATTTCACTCTTTATTTCTCTAATTGTTTCGAAATGCATTTGGATTAGCTTTTGTTATGATAATTTTATTATTGGCTTGCCTAACGGCATCGTTGGGCACCATCATGGCTTATTGTGGGGACATGTTATATATATTTTTCTTGTTATCTTACTTCTTTATTTCTCGTTATTTCTTGTCACTTAATTATACATACGTATACGTAGGTTTCTTGCTTTAGCTTTATCACTACTTCGTCGGGGTTAGGCTCGACACTTATGGAGTACATTGGGTCGGTTGTACTTATACTATACTTCTGCACTTCTTGTGCAGATTCGAATATTAGTACCAACAAAGTACCGAGAGGTGCTTAGCGATACCAAATAGGCAACTCAAAGTAGAGTTGCATATAGTTCGTAGGCCTGGGGTCATCTTCCCATTTCTTTTTTTTTTTTGGTCGAAAGGATATAGTTATATTATAGATAATCAAACACTTATAGTAGAGCTGTTAAGCAGATGCATCACTGGCATCAGATTTACAAAAGTAGAGTTTGGAACCAAGGCCCCCGTATGGGAACCATTGCTAGTAACAAAGGTAGAACTAGATAAAACACTACTATGAATACTAGGTACAATACTAGTTAAAATACTACTATTATACAAAGTAGACTTAGTTTTAATCAGCCTTCTTCTTAGCATTCCACTTTGATCTTGTTGGTAAGAAGGTGTGGCAAAAGGTGGTGGACTTCCAAAAAGTAGACAGCTCTCCTGTGCATGCATGGCTCCATATTTAGCTAAACTATCTGCTACACAATTTTACTCTCTGTAGATGCTTTGGAGAGAAGGACTATCCAGCTGTAAGAGTAATAACCTGCAATTGTTAATTAAATAGTTTATTGATTGTAGTTAAGTTTAACATACTGATTATTGCATGTGCATCTGTCTCAATGATGAGTGGTTTGAGGTGCTTTTTACAGCAATTTTCAGTCCCATGAGCAGTGCTAGAAGTTCTGTCTGAACACCTGTCCCGTGTTTTGATGTTCCTGAAAATCATATAATCCAGTTGCCTTGGTGATTTCGAAAAATACCACCAATTCCTTGTTCATTTATATTGTTTCTTTTTTTATCGGACAATGTATTTTAAAAAAATTCTAGTAGTTTATGTACTCGTGACTCCATATCTTGAGATGGTTGACCATTAGTGTCTGATTTTAGACTCGTATTGTATATTTCGGAGTTACCTTTATGCTGCTCTTAACCGTTAGTTTCTTTTCTCTTTTATTTGTCGTTAAGTGTTGGCTTGCCTAACAAGCGGTATTAGGTGTCATCACGTGGGTTGAGTTTTTAGGTCATGACAAGTAGTTCCTATTTGTGACTTATTTCTGTAATTTTTTTTTATTTTTGGCATGAAGCATTTTCCTCTTTTAATGGGGCTTACTTGAGGCAAGTTCAATTTGTCAGGACCCTACAGCGGATACTGACGCCGAATGAAAAATAAAAAATAGCTATATAAATAAAAATTAAACTGAAAAAGGAGGTGAAGAAAAAAAAAAGATGTCAAATCTTTTTGTTTCCAATGACCATTTTGAGGTACAAAAGATTATAATCTACTAATTAAATTCAAATTTTCATGCATCAAGTTTCCACATATTAGTAAACCACCGGCTGCTAATTCCCACCAACCAATTTCAGCCAAGTACTTTAACGAAATCAAAGGAATGAACAATCCCTTTTCTGATCTCTTCTTTTTAGTAAATGCTGAGGGGTTGCCATGTCTAAAGAAGAGAAAAAGATAGAGGTAATCACTGCAGTTTACAAAGTTCGTCTCCACTGCCCAAAATGTGCTCATGATATTAGAAAACCTCTATTGAGGACCCAAGGTACTTAAACATTTTAACTTACTTATTTCTTAATTTTTTAAATATTTTTATTTGTACTACCGAGGGGGTTTCCAAGTCCAATCCAAGTATTCACCCCTATGGACTCCTATTTTGAAGGAAGCCTTGAAGGGTTGAATGAGAGATAGAGCTTCGATCAAGAAGAAGAAAATTGTATATTAGACCTTCGCTCAAGGGAACACCAAGCAAGGGATGATCACTGGCGCTAGCGGGCAGCCGCTCTGTCGTCTATAATACTAGGACCAATAGGTTAGGTTAAAAAAGGATTTGTGTTTGAAAGGGAGAAAGAGAGCCAATTGGTCTGATACGTTTGCCAAAATTAGGGGTGATCATGGTTCGGTGTGGATCGGTTTTTCCCTAAAAAGAAACCAAACCAAGTAAGTCGGTTTTTCAAATATTAGAACCAAACCAAACCAATTAAGTCGGTTTTTTCTCGATTCGGTTTATGTCGGTATTTTCGGTTATTTTTTATTTTTTTCCTTAAATATAAGACATACACTACTAAACACATATTTCGGCAACCACATTTTTAATGTAACACTATTAAATCAATTGCCCTTTGAGAAATCTATTATTTAGCAAGATATATTAATGATAATTGAATCAAATAGTGATGAATAATTTAAGGACTCAATTAAAAATATATTATTTTTAACATGAAATAGATTCTTACACTTAACAAAAGAAAATTATCAATCAAACTAGAATGTAAAGGTAAAGAACTGTACTAAAAGTGCAAACGATTAACATTTACTATAAAAAATTTGAAACTTTGTATAAAAGTATACATATATATAGGTATAATTCTAAATTTAAAAGAGCTACTCCTATATTCGGTTTGGTTCGTTTTTTTTATTAAAACCAAAACCAAACCAAATTTGATCGGTTTTTAAATTTCAAAACCAAAACCAAACCAAACCAAAAAGTATCGATTTTTTTGGTCGATTTGGTTTGGTTTTCGGTTTGGTTCGGTTTTTCGGATTTTTATGAACACCCTAGCCAAAATAATAACTAGTTTTACCTGAGTTAATAGTATGTTTAGCCAAGTTTCTCCCAAGTCCAAAAATATTTTTTTTTTCTTTCTAAAAAGTACCTTTTTCTAAGCCTGAAATATTTGGCCAAACTTTTATCGCAAAAAAAAGTGCTTTTGGGAAGAAGCAGAAGCACTTTTTGAGAAGCAGAAAAAAATAGTTTCTCTCCAAAAGCACAGACAATTTTTACTTTTTCTTATTACAAAAATACCCTTAGCAAAATGTTGTATATACCAAAATAATCTTACTTATTCTAAATCTAACACATAGGATATTAATGTATAAATATTTCTTCTTATTTTTAGAATAGCTTTCTAATATATAGTAACTTCTGGGATAAATGCGTTTATATTTGTTGAATAATATTTTGATATATTTAAATCATCCTGAAAGAATTAAAGTACTTTTTTATTTTATTTTCATATTTTACTTAAATAAAATGAAAAAACTTAATTATTGTCTTTACTAATAAATTTTTGAAATTATTTATTTACTTTAATATTAACTATTAAATAAATCTCTTTATGTCCTTATTTGTAATTTAATACTTAAAAGTATTTTTTGAAAAGTTTGGTCGAACACAAATTATTATTCAAAAGTGATTTTCAAATTGATTAGCCAAACACAAATAGTTTCTCTCCAAATGTACTTTTATGAAAAATACTTTTCAAAATAAGGTGTTTTTTCCAGTTAGGCTGCTAATCTGCAAACATTTGATAGAGCTTTATTTTGAACTGTGGTCTTCACTTTTTAAGGCTACGAGAACATTTATAAAGATTTTCTATTAAAAAGATGAAAACAATGTATTGAAAAGAGACAGCTCTAAGATTCTTTAATGGAAAAGGCTGTCCAATTTGATCCCTTTATTATAATTTATACGGAATATTTAAATTTGTAAGTATTTGTCCTTGTTCTTAACGGAGTTCCGGAGTGGACTGGACATGGATTTCAAATGTCAAAATATTTTTTAAAAAGGTCCAAATATACTCATTTGCCTTTGACTATATTTTAATGTACGAGATGATTGACTAACGGAGATAGTATGAATAGTCTCAAAGTATATTGGAGGGGAAAAACAAAACATTTCATATTGTAGAGCAGTAATTTTGACCTTTTTTTCCTTTATTGATTAAAAATATGAAATTTGGTCAATTGGATCTTTTTCCTGTTTTTCTTCCAGGAAGATTGCTCTTGCAATTTTTCTGTATTTTCATCAGTCACCACTGGTTTGACATTGACATGACAATTTAACATGGCTCCAGGAGTTCATACTGTGGGTGTGAAACTTGAGAAAGATGAAGTTACAGTAAAAGGTGCTATCGACGCAAAGAAAATTCATCAACGCTTAGAGAAATGGAGTAAAAAGAAAGTCGAAATTGTATCCCAGGCGAAGGTTAAAGACGTTGAAAAGGCAAAGGAAGTGAAAAAGGTAAGAAGCCATATATCTTCTAAATAAAACCTAAAGCTATTACATTTGTTATGGATCTAATCGCTACCCAAAAACAAAAACAAAAGTCACATTGACATTTCGTCGAAAATTGGCTTGTTGGGAAGGGCTTTTCAAGCCAATTCCCTATGAATTTTGTCAGAAGTTACCGACAAATTCAATCAGAAATTTCCATCTGAAATTAGTATTGTTTTGGTAGTAAATTTATATATATATATATATATTCATATTATTAGAATATTTTAACATGTTGCAAGTAATCAATCTTATTTCTCAAGTAAGTAATCTGACTTTTTATGAGCAGTTATCTATAGTTATCAAATCGGAAATAAGATTAATAAAAATGTTTAAGTGTTAGTTAGAATAAATAGTACGAAATAGAAAGTTTTTTTTCTGAAGGATATGCAGATTTAATTGAAAGCAGGAAAAGTATTCTTAACTAAGACTATTACAAACTGGGATTAATCGATTTGAAACACACTACCAGAAATTAGGCATTTTCGACCACCAGAACCGTTGAAAAAGGGTTGAAAATTCCGATTTTTTCGACATTTTTTGACAAAATTTGATCGGTCAAAAAATCATTGGTCGGAATCACTTTTTCGATCGGTCAGAAATTTCCGACATACATGGTCAGACAACCTAAAATGGAGGACGACCAAATTTTTTTCTATCCAACGATCGACGTCAGAAAATTTTCAAGTCGAAAAATTGGACATTTTTCAGAAACATCTTTTAATATACTGACCACTTCGGTAGGAAAACTAAAAAAACTCAAGTAATTTTTTCAACTAAAGTGGTCAAAAATCCGTCGAAAAACTATATAAAATACACCACTTGTCAAAAGAAAAAACAACCAAAAAAATCCAGCCAAACAATAAATATTACAATTTCAACCAATCAAACCCATAAAACACGAATTATTAAATTATTAAACATAACGTTTGTACCTAAAAACGTCCAAATACTAGCCTAAGCATAAAAAATATTCAAACAAATCTAAACACTTCAATCAAAACACAATCAAGTCTATCACAATTCACAGCCAACCAAGTCTAAACTTCATAACCACAATCAAGTCTAAAAATCTTCAAAGATATGTCTGTCACAACCAGGTCTAAACACCACATCCATAATCAAAACACTAATCCTCGTCGTCTGATTAAGTCACCTCCGCAGATAGATCTTTGGCATGTTTGTTCACGAAATTCTACCTCTTAGCAATTATTTCATAACATGTTTCCCATTATTGCATCAAATCGTAAATTTATTTTCGGATAGATTCCATCTCTTCTTGATTTTGCAAAGTAGAAGCACCCAAAAAATAATGTGAGGAATATCGTACGATCCAAGTCCATAGACTCTATCCACCTCCATCTCTATCCATATTAAAGTCATATCATCGGTGACAGTTGGGTTAAAGTAGGTTGAGTCTGACGCTGCTTGTCCAAACTTTTATGATATCCTTCTTGAGATAAAAATGTTATATAACAAACTATTAATTAAAAACAAAATAGCCTTGAAGTTACGATCTTACATATGTCTCTGACGCACGCTGCTCGACCCGGTCTCTTTTTGTATCGTCCTTTTTTTTATGTGTCTCCCGGAAGACCTTAGCATGAGTCACATCTCTCCCTTCTTCCTTTTCCTCCAAAATAAAAAATTATGAGTTGGGTATAATTTTGATCGCATATGTGTAAAATTAAGAAATTTTTTATAAATAAGTTATCAATATCAATTGATGGGCCTCATAACTAATTGAACCTCCAGCGTGCAACGAGCCACCTTTACTGGAGGCTCAAGCTACTTTTTTTTGTTCACTCTTCTTTTTCCAATCAGGAGCATTCGTCCTTTTATGCCAAACATATGCTCGTAATCATTCGGGCTTGTTACCACCTCTTCGAGCAACATAGAGTATCTTTAATTTGATGACCAACTTTTTTCTCGAATTTATTACTTATTTATTTTCATACTAATATTGCCATGTACACTTCGTCCGAAAAATAAGTACTAATATTAGTTGAATATAATAAGTAATATATAAATTTAATTTCTTTTTACCTAAATTGGTTGCACATATGCTCTCTACCATTGTATGGTATCTATCTGCAGGAATTCCATGGCTTATTATAAAATAATTTCATAGACTTCACAATCGCATGTGTAGACTTATAGGATGTCAAAAATCTGTATTAAATTTAACATATGTAATAACCTTCCTTAACATATATAAAACTATATTAAAATTTTTAAAAATAACATAAGAATTGCTTGCTCGTCCTTATAGGGAACGATAAGCAACCGATGATAAGTATCACACTGTACAGACCCTCCAACATTCTAACTGTGTGAATCAATAGGTGTAGATATACCACTAGATAGAGATGTAGATATGTGAGAGCCTATAATTTTCAGCCTAGGTGTGTGTCACGATCCAAAATTCACTAGTCGTGATGGCACCTAACCCAACCCGCTAGGTAAGTCAACTAATAACTATCCAAATCCATTAAAGTCAACCAAACAATTAAATAGAGAAGTTAACTGAATTTTATACATTCCCCAAGGACTAGTAGTACAAATCATGAGCTTCTAAGAATAGAGTTCATAAAGCCGATATGAAGAAAATACATCTTCTGTTTGAAAAGTACATAAATAGAGTTTTACAAAGCTAAGGCTACCATGAACAAGAGGCAGCTACATCAAGGACGCAGGTGAACCTTCAAATCCAGCAACCATCGAACGCAGCAACATCAGCATCCGGGATCTACACGCAGTGTGCAGGAAATGTAGTGTGAGTACAACCGACCACATGTACTCAAAAGTAACAAACCTAACCTCAGGTTGAAAGTAGTGACGAGCTAACACATGATTGAGTCCAAAACCTATATTTCCACAACAGCTCATAACAACATAAATGCAAGTATCAAAAAGATATCTCAAAAGTAAAATACTCAGCTAGTTCACAATTCCAGAAAATGATCATGCTTTTCAAATATCTTAATGAAAGAAAATCCCAGATCTCTTACTGAAAATGCCAAAAGTACAAGTAAGTTTGAAAACTTTAATTTTCCAAATACCCTTTCCACAATATATAAAATGTTTCATTTTCTTTCTAACTAAAAAGTATAAAGTGCCTCTTCATACCCACATATCAATATATATAATAAGTCATTGTCATACCTGCTTTTTACCCGCGCCACTGCAAAGGGGCCAGGAGGGAGTTTTTTTCAATTAAAAGACAATCGAAATAGGATTTATTATTAAAGGATCAGAGTCGCCACTTGGGAGATTTATGGTGTCCCAAGTCACCGGTTGAATCCCGAATCGAGGAAAATATTGACTCTATTTAATAGTCCGCGCACCAAAAATCCGAGTAAGGAGTTCTGTTAACCCGGGAGAAGGTGTTAGGCATTCCCGAGTTCCGTGGTTCTAGCACGGTCGCTCAACTGTCACATTCGGCTTATTTATCTGATTTTAATACATGTTGAACCTATGTGCAAATTTAAACTCTTTACCGCTTTTATTATTATTATTTTTAATAAGAATTGCGACGTCGCAAAAACACATCTCGAACCACGTCACATCAATGCACCCGTGGTTATCGACACATTTCAACTCCGTCGAGATTTGGATTTGGGCCACATAAATGTGCACCCAAGTTTCAGAAAGTAAATTATTAAAAGCGCGCCTGAAGTGACTAGCGCGTTATTATTTTGGGAAAGCCATGAAATTCGCTAAACGGCTCGTCCCGAAATCTAAGCAATCAATATATACATTTAACGAGGGCCCCGTGATTCATTTATTTTGTTCGGCGAGGCTCGTCTCATTTTTATTCTAAAAGGGCAAACCTAAAGCAATCTATAATTTTCTACTTTATTTGTCTCTAAAAAATAAAAATAAAAAGGAAAAGTCCTAATTAATTAATATTACAAAATCGGGCCTCAAGTTCAAGTCCGGATCCANAATATAAAGTAGAAGAGAGATCAGCAACAGCAGTAATACGAGCAGCAATACAACAGCAGTTGGGAGTTCCAAACAACTACCGACATAGCCCAGAAAGTTTGTAAAAGACCAAACAGCAGCAATCAATATCACCACAAACAAACTCAACCACGCATATATTAAACCCGAAACTGAACCAGTAGACCACTGAACCACTTAAGCAATCAAAGGGAATCGGATTCACTGTCCAGGATTCGAGTTACTCCTACAGATTCAATGAAACCATATCTTTTTTTTGTTTTCTCTTTTTAACTCTCCAGCACTCTCTTAAGATTTTTAGAAAAAAATCCTTTTTTTTCTGTCTAAAAATGGCTCTATATATAACCCCCCCAAAGCAGGCCTGCCCCCCCTCAACTCTCAAAAGCACTTTAGGCAGAATTTTTCAACTAATTCTGCCCATCATCTCTCAAACCCCACTATATTATGTTTTCCCTCTTTTTAATTCATTTGTTCCCCACTAAACTTCTTTTTGTTTATTAATCCCACGCGGGTATAGGCAGCCTATTTTTCTATATCAAGTCCTTGTGACCCTCCTTATACCATTATGTTGTGTTCCCCACTAACACATTAGATTAAGGGTTAATTAAGTGCTTTACTGTCAACCCACTTAGCAAGGCCACTTTGCTAAACCTTTAAATCCCAAATTACCCTCCTAAAGTTCCTGAAATTACTGTCCTACCCAATCCCTTTCACTCTTCATTGAACCTTTCAACTCTAACCTATTCAAACCTACCAACTAACTAAGCTGAATCCAACAAACTACAATAGCTATAACCAATTCAACTTATCTAATTCAATCAGTAATTCAAACTAGAACTCAGGTCAGATCAAATAGCATAAAATAAAGACCAATGCATTTGAACAAAATCACATTGAACTAGCAAGGTCAAATTTCAGACCATGATTGACACAAATACATGGGAATGACTAACTATGTTCACAATTCTAAATTAAACAAAATGAATGAAACACTGTCACATACTGGATGAACATAACTGAATTTATATGTAAAATGCTGAACAACAAAACAAACAAGGAATCAGACATCACAGAAAGTGAGATCATTTGAACTAGTAATACTAGTAACCAATTTA